TTTCCCTATACTCAAAGATTCTTGCAGTCTTATGTATCTTGTTGACCTCCAGTCCCAGCAGTACTTACCACATGGCAAATACCTAATATACTTTCATAAAAATATGAATGAAAGAAACAACCAAATGAATGCAATTTAAAGAAATTAGAACTGGAAAACAAGAAACCATCTTCTCTAGCACTGGATGGTCTACATCCAGTTAATTTGGAAGGCAAATGCCAGGGGTGGCTTCTGTAAGCTGGGACGCAGTTATTCTTATTTCAGTAATAGTGTCCAGTAACCATGGTTTTTAATTCCCGGGGCATCCATAGGAACCTTTCTATTTACCATACTGGTACTCACAAACCCTATAACCTCTCCTAGAAGAACTGGAAGAGATTCTACAGACTCTTTCAGAAGATGTTTTCAGAAATACACACCAGATAAAAAGGGGAGCGTGGGAGGTGCCAGGATTCTACAATCAAATGTTCGAAATATTTTTTTTTAACTCAGTGAAGTTGAAGGGAATGCAAAGACTGAGAGAATAAAGCTGTCCAGTTAAAAGGAGTCGTCCTGATCTCAAAAATATTAAGGATTTAGATAGACTTGAAAAGAAAGCTCACCAGTCCACTACATTACCATGAATCACAGAGACTGCGATTTAAACTTCCTTTAGAAGTCATTTGATTCAATTCTTGGCCTCTAGAAAAAAGACCCCCACTACACCACCTTCCATTCTTGATGTAAATAGGGCTTGTCATGGCCACAGATGCCTCAGCTCTACCTGGTAATCTATTCCAAGCAGTTCTTTCTTATATACCTACATTTTGTCTTGCTGATGCAGAAATACACAGCCACTTCCCCTCACACTAGCCTCAGTGGATATTAAAAAAAGTTAAACTTGGTCTTCATTATGCCCCTAATAATTTTCTTTCAAGGGAGAATAAGATACTCTTTATTGCTACAAAATGAGTATGTTCGTGTTATATGTATGGTGCCCAAGAAATGTCTGTTTACTATATCATGTCAGACCCTGATTTTATTCTATTATTATTATTTTAATTGATTAACTAATTAATTAATTATTGGCTGCGTTGGGTCTTCATGCTGCGGGCGGACTCTCTCTAGCTGCAGAGTGCGGGGGCTACTCCTTGCTGCGGCGCACGGGCCCTCTCACTGTGGTGGCCTCTCTTGTTGCAGAGCACGGGCTCCAGGCATGTGGGCTTCAGTAGTTGTGGCATGCGGGCTCAGCAGTTGTGGCACACAGGCTCCAGAGCACAGGCCCAGCAGTTGTGGCACACGGGCCCAGTTGCTCCGCGGCATGTAGGATCCGATCCTCCCGGACCAGGGATCGAACCTGTGTCCTCTGCATTGGCAGGCAGATTCCCAATCACTGCGCCACCAGGGAAGTCCCGATTTTATTCTAAATAGTTTTCTTTGTGGCTCACTATATATTTGGGCCTCAAGTTATCCACAGTTGGGGTGTCCACAGGAACCCCCCAGGGATTGCCCATTTCTGACATTTCATATGTTATAGAGAATTCCAAGCGCTGAAAGGACCCAAACTTATCTAGTAAATAAAGACTCAAAGATTATTATTATTGTTTGATAATCACAGGATTTTAAAAAAACAGAGTGTATCCATCTCTAATTACAGTGTCAACTTAGAGACGGCAAGTATGTGTTTAAATGGCCCTAACGCTTAGCATAGCACGTGGTAAATACTATTTAGATCTGATAATGAAGGAGGAGAGAAAAAGAAGGAAATTCTGCCTCATATGTGATTAATCTTTTACTTTAATAAAAATATGAAAGAGTCTGACAATAGAGGGGAAGGAGGGCTGACTAGAAGCAAACTAGAACTATATATTCCAGAAAGAAAGAGCAAATATGTTTAGATAGAAAGAGAAGCAAAAGAGTAGAAGCAGAGAGAAGACAAAAATTACCACCAGATACAGGCCCAAACGATTAATTCAAAAAAAGCTCATATTCAGGCATGTTTTTTTCTCTTCAATTTTCTATAATAATCTTACTGTGAAGACCGTCTAATTTAATTGATGTCTGCAACAAGAATGTGAATAACCATACACCTCAGCAAGGAACATTACATACTGATGGGCGTCTCCCACGCAGGTGTCCAGGGTCAGAATTAATCTAACAGATGTACCCAGGGCTGATATTCACGCATTTCAAGTAGTTAGGTTAGTCAGCTCAGCTTCTAAAAATAAGTGGATCTAATATGACAAGGTGTTTGGGGCTTTTTTGTTTTTTTTACTTTTCACTCTTTGAATCTAGCACTGCCTATAAAAGTGGTAGCATCAAGACATTTGAAAGCACAATTGCTGCAGCATTCAAATTTGAAGGCAAGGATTTAATGATGAAAAGCAAAGTATGAAAGGCAAAGATGCCCCTCAGCTCTGTCCAGATGGTGAGCTCCCCAAAGGCAAGCTCCATCCCGCCCCTGATTTAAAAGGGCAAGGTAGAGCAACGTGTAAATTGCTTTGTCTCCCTGCTGTTATTTTGACACAGATTCTTCAGGACCAAGGCCAGTCCCAGAGAATAGGATTGATCTCTAACACACAAATTCAGGCTTCAGGCTACCTATGTGGAAGAACAAACGTCAGGATCTGGGTGGCATGCTTGAAAGTGGGTTAGATGAAAGTATAATTGAGGAATGCTGACTAGCAAGAACAACTCACTAACCAGCAAGGTAATGTGATCTTAGGATGCTGGAGAAAATTCCTTGACGCCCAAGAATTTTCCACATTTAAAGCTTCTTCCTGAAGACTATATTTTCAGGGATCATTTCTATTGACACACGCATCCTACTATATATAAATAGATAACTGTATAGCACAGAGAACTCTACTCAGTACTCTGTAACAGCCTATATGGGAAAAGAAGCTAAAAAAGAGTAGATATAGGTATATGTATAACAGATTCACTTTGCTGTACACCTGAAACTAACACAACATTGTAAATCCATTATACCCCAATAAAAAAATTTAAAATTAAAAAAGAAAAAGAACGCTTCTTTCTGAAGAGACAGATGCACAAAATAAATCAACCAAAAATACACAACTGGAGTCTCAGAATAGACATTTTTCTCCTGAGGAGGTACTATACCTTTAGCAGTATTTTAGAACCATTACAGAAATGGCGTGACTATAGCTTACCTTGCTTTTAAGCTTCTGGGTGACAGAATAACTCTGCCCAAAAGGTGGCAAAAGAAATAAAGAAATCTCTTTGGAAAGGAGGTACTGAGGAGTTAAATAACTTGCCTGACATCACAGCAAATCAGGGCCAGAACTCGCTATAATTCAGTGTTTCCAACTAGCAGGCCTCTGCTTATGGTCAAGGGGTACTGATTCCTAGGCTGCGAATACCACTTACTGTCTTCCATTACTCTGAAGCGCCCCAAGGAAATGAAGAGTTAGCACTTACCTTTGACAATTTGCTTTGCACACGCGTTGTAAACCTGCTCTTGGGTCGTGGTGGGAGGCAGCACTCTGTCGAAGACATATGGCTTTCCTTGCTAGAAGGAAACGGCAAAGCACATTAGACGCTTAGGAAGAAAAGGCACTAATGGCACTAGTCAGACCGTAGGCACTAAGTCACCAAGCCCACTCTTTAAGGCAGTTCCTTACCAAGACTAGGGAAATTTTCTTTCTTTTTTTTAAAATAAATTTATTTATTTATTTTTATTTTTGGCTGCGTTGGGTCTTCGTTGCTGTGCGCGGGCTAAGCGCAGTGAGCGGGGGCTACTCTTCGTTGCAGTGTGCAGGCTTCTCATTGCGGTGGCTTCTCTTGTTGCGGAGCACAGGCTCTAGGCACGCGGGCTTCAGTAGTTGTGGCACTCGGGCTCAGTAGTTGTGGCGCACGCGTTTAGTTGCTCCACAGCATGTGGGATCTTCCCGGACCAGGGCTCGAACCCGTGTCCCCTGCATTGGCAGGCGAATTCTTAACCACTGCACCACCAGGGAAGCCCAAGACTAGGGAAATTTTCTAACATGAACGACATGTTTGTGTGTGTGTACTGTATGTTGAGAATATACTGTTTGTGTGTGTGCACTGTATGTTGAGAATCGGAAAGGAGAAAGAAGAAAAACATTTTTTTTTTCTACTTGAAGCACCTTTTCTGATGAAATGTAGGTTGACACGTCATTCACGCATTTAAACAAATATTTAGTCACTGAGAGTTTCTTCGGATCCAGGCATAGACTAGATGCTAACCAAATCAGAAGACAGTCCTGCCTGGAGAGCATTCAATCAAGTGTGACAGCTATAATGAACAAGAAAGCAAACACACAGGAAAATGCAACGTGCCTAGGAATAACGTAAAGGGACAGAGGGGATGAGAGAAGGCCAAAGAAGACCTCCGTGAAGGAGTTCCAGTTAAGTGGATCTTTAAAAGATCAGAAAGGTTGAGGCATGTGAAGAACCGTGGAAGAACACTCCAGGCAAAGGGCGGAGCAGACAGGAAGGGGCCTGGGGTGCTCAAGGAACTAGAGGGTGTACAAGAGGAGATGGGAAAGGAAATTAGCCAAGGTAACGCACTTGGATTTTATTCAGTGGGAAGATGCCATGATCTGATTTAAGAAGCTGCTCTTAATAGCCAGATATTACTGCTCTGTGTCCTAGATTACTCTAGTGTTTTCTTCACATGCATAAGTGGTGTCTTAACTGGGTGGAGGCTTTGGAGATAAAGGGGGGCCTCTACATAAATATATTTATAAATATATAAATCACGTGCTCTCCCCAGGTGTGGGCTCTGGGGATTTGGCCCGACACTGGGCTGTGTGCGATTGGAGGAGGGAACTGCTGGAGGGAAGGGAAGAGGTTCTGCTGAGGTGCTACTGACTCCGGAGGTGCAGAGCCCTGACACTCCACCACTCAGCGTTCACCAAGCAGTTACTGGGCGTTTCCGCGCCCGGTGCTGCACACTGGGGAAGCAAGTAGGGAGGACAGACACAGCCTCTTCCCCGGGAGAAACCCCCATCACAGCACCTCTTCCCCACCGATTAGCACCCAGGCAAGGGGTGGTCCTCCCCCGGCCCCTCACCTTCATTTTCCCCAAGTGCAGAAGGGACGGCAGGAGAAGAGAAGGGAGGAAAGGCGAGAGCCCAGAGCCTCCTTCACTCCCACCCTGCACCTCCTACACGTGGCTCTGGACACGGGGAACCACCCAAGGACAGTCTGACACCTTGAAAAGATAACCGCTCATGGGGAATCCAAGGACAAGGCTTGTTACATCCTATAACCTTCACACAAAAGGAAGCACACAGCTGTCAGACCGGCTTAATATTTCACTCCTCTATGTCTATGGTAAAGCCACACGTAGGTGAGGCTACGCGTTAGGGCTGTGCTCTCGAGCTTTAGTCTTTAAAAAAATAAGATTGCACCAACCAGGTAAACAAGCTACTTCCAGCTTGGTTTTAGAAAAAAATGGAGAATTTTCAGGTACGATCAAATTTTTTTTTTTTTTCTTTTTTTTTCCTTGCGTTATGCGGGCCTCTCACTGTTGTGGCCTCTCCCATTTGCGGAGCACAGGCTCCGGACGCGCAGGCTCAGTGGCCATGGCTCACGGGCCCAGCCGCTCCGCGGCATGTGGGATCTTCCCGAAACGGGGCACGAACCCGCGTCTCCTGCATCGGCAGGCGGACTCTCAAGCACTGCGCCACCAGGGAAGCCCCAAATTTTGTTTTTATACAAAGCAGCAGAACCATTCATTCTGTTAAAATTCTGGGAAGGGATTATTTCCTGATGTTTTGTTCCCAGCAAGTCTCATTCAATCAGTGAATCTAGTATTTGGCTTAATAACCACGATTATACTCCTCACTGCAATCTATTGCCAATGATCAGCCCACCATATTCTTAGCAGCTTTATCTATTTGTAAAATTCAACTAAATGTCAGTAGTGTAAAAGGTTAGAATAAACATTTACAGAGTTTGCCTAAGTATTTGTCGTTCGCTGAACCTTCTGGAAAGAAAATGCAGCTTTGCTTAATTTAAAACAAATCCAGGGCTTCCCTGGTGGCGCAGTGGTTAAGAATCCGCCTGCCAATAAAGGGGACACGGGTTCGAGCCCTGGTCCAGGAAGATCCCACATGTCGCGGAGCAACTAAGCCCGTGTGCCACAACTAGTTAGCCTGTGCTCTAGAGCCCACGCGCCACCGCTACTGAAGCCCGCGCGCCTAGAGCCCGTGCTCCGCAACAAGAGAGGCCACCGCAGTGAGAAGCCCGCGCACCGCAACGAAGAGCAGCCCCCGCTGGCTGCCACTAGAGAAAGCCCGCGGGCAGCAACGAAGACCCAACTCAGCCAAAAATAAATTAATTAATAAATAAATCTATCAAAAAAATAAAAATTAAAAAAAAAATCCATTATTTCTCCCAACGTGATGAGAATCACCAAAATAAACCGTCTTGTGTACAGCATGATCCTGCTTTAGGTTTTAGAGAAAATGCACTTGACACAGCAGGGGAAAGGACCTATTAAATTGTAGTATATGATACAAAAAATAGGACTCCCCAGTTTTGCCCTTTAACTTAAAATGTTTGTTGGAGTGTGCTATGCTTTCACTTTAAGAGACGTAGAAAGCAAGAAATCTCTACTCTTCATTTCAATAATATCACATTTACCAAGTGACAAACGCATAATATAACAATTTTCCATAAGCTGAAGTTAATTCCCAAACAGAAACTGCCTTCCAGAAAAGAGAAAATTTAGAAAATGATTTGTTATGAGACTTATCTTGTCAGGATTAGAACATAAATTAGTTAAAAATGTAAGCATTTTTATGTGTCTTTTCATGCACTGAGGCGGTCATAGGCTTTTATTTTCAAGAACTGACTTGTGGCATAGTGTGCCAGCTGTATATACAACTGCCATTTAAGCAAAAATAACAACAACAAACTCATCACTCTCTGCTGTTTTGGTAAAGAAATGAAAATCTCACAAATCCTGGTCGAGACTGCAGCAAAGACCCCCAGGAGACAAGAGTCTCCCTGTTTCTGATCCCACTGTGGCTGAGGGTTTCTGTGGGCAGGCAATGGGCCCAGCTTGCTCTAGTTGTCACTACATTTGCAGCTGCAGAATAAATTTTTGGATTTACATTTTAATATGGGTGCTGGGTGCTAACATTTGAAACTGAATGATGAGGTCACCAGTTACTCCTTCTGGAGACACTTTCCTTTCCAGGCACCTATTCAGCACATGGTCCTCTGAGACCTCTCTGGCCACTCTGTCCGTGACTTTTGCTGATATCTCTTCCAGACTTCTAAGTGACAGTGTGTCCTGGACCCAGACCTCAGCCTCCTCTCTGTAATTCAAATGAACATGTCAGCCTTCAAATCTCACCCAAGCTCCAGAGTCATATACTCAATCGCCTGCTAGACATTTCCACTTGGATGTCCATTAGCCATCTCAAACTTGACTGGACAAAAAAGAACCATCAAGCCCTCTATGTCTGAGTAAGAACTGCACCACCAATCACCTAGTACTCAGGCCAAAATTATTCATCATGTCCCACAGATTCCAAATCCAAAATATATCCCAAATTCTATCACTTCTCACCATCTACACCACGTAACTCCAGCCCAAGCCACCATCGTTTCTCATCAAGACAACAGCTACAGTCTCCTGACTGGTCTCCCTGCCTCCATTCTTGCTCCTAACAATCCAATCTTCACTTAGCAGTCAGAGTGAGCTTTCTAGAACTATAAATCAAATGATATCACCCCTCTTAAAATTCTCCAGTGGCTCCTATTATACTTAGACTAGACCCTCTCCATCCTCAGCTCCCTGCATTCTCCTCCATCTTACTACAGCGTAGCCCACTGGGCTTCCTTCAGTACCGTACTTATTCCTCGGCTCAGAGCCTTTGCTCTTAACGCTTCCACCTTCTTGGAATTCTCTCACTGCAGATCTTCACGTGGCTCACCACAGATCTTCATTTGGCTGTCTCTTCATCCCCTGCCAGATGTCAATTCCAACTTCTTCTCCTTTGAGGGCTTCCCTGACCCTAAACTAAAGCAGCCCCACCCCACCCTGACATCACTTTCTATTACATTACCCTATTTGGTTTGCTCCACAGAAATTACTGTGTGACCCATTCTCAACCAATCAAATGGACCACTACTATTAAAGCATCTAACCAGCTAAGACAGAAGCCATATAAATGCCAAGACCTAATTGCATGTTATGCAAACCTGATGCAATTTATGAAAGGAATCTGGATGGGACACACACTCCACATACATTACAACTGAAAATAAGGTAACCCAGATTTGCCATGCAAGTCTCTCGCAGAGCAGTGCTAATTGCATGGGAGCGGTGTAGCTAAATAACTTACCAGGATCACATACAAAAAAATAACAGCAGATGGTCCTTACATTTTTAGAGTTAAAATTAAAAAACAAAAAAATCAAACCAAGTTATTGAGAGCAAAGTGTCTGTGAACTATATGGCCTGTCTCTTAACACATTTGACCTGTTACCCAACAACTGTTCCCCATCCTGGAAGGAATATTACT